TGGACGACATATTTAGGTATAGATATAGATATAGATATAGATATATGGTTTCCGGTCCAACTCCGAAAAAATGATACGGGTTTGGGCCAGGTCGGATTTTTTAGGCCCGAATGCAACTTTACTGTATTGCTTGATTGTCAATGGGTGTATAATGTACCATATGCGGTACTCTTATATTTTTATCCCTCAACATTCTATGAAAATGTTCTTTTATGTCAGCCGGTCGAAGCAGATGGCCTCTTGTTCGGAGCCTGGCTCTGCTAAATGATTCTTCCTCACGAGGAAGTTTTTCCTTTCCACTGTTGATGTTTCTGTTGTGAATTGGTGCTATATAAATTAAACTGAACTGAATGTTTAAGCTTTGGTAGCTGCTATTCTTTGATCTATAATATCCTGTTCAACAATGTTTAATCCTTTTAGTTGTCAAAGTGAACCCACCTGCATGTCAATTCCTGATTATGTAAATGTTTTAATCTTTATGTCATTTATTAACTGAAATGAAATATGATAAATGCTATCTGGTCTTGAGCCTGTCATATTTCCGGCTGGTCAAATGACACTATTTCATCTGTCTTTTCATTTTATGAATAAGTTGTCTTTGTTGTATTTTTCTTTCTAATGTTTAGGTCTTTTGCACAGTGTTTGAAGCTTTTCTTTGTCTGCATGTTAACGTTCTGACATCTGTGATGGTCAAGGTTCTCAGCCCACTGATGAGACTCCTGTAGGGATGGGGGCCACTCTGGACATTCAGAGGCAACAGAGAATGGATCTGCTCGACCAGCAGCTGCTGCTGGCTCAGTACAACGAGGCCCGGAGGACCACCAGACATCAGCCGCAGGTAGACTGTAAATCATCAATCATCATCTTTTTACTTTGGCGTTTAGCTTTTTTTTTTTTTATGGTAATTTTATCTTTTACTGTTGGAATATAACCTTTTAATTACATTTAGCAATTAGATTAGCTTAGATTATTTTATTTTTTAGTTAATGTTTTGTTGATTTTAGCTTTTAGCTACTGCTTTGTTGATTTTAGCTTCTGTTCTGCTGGTCTAACTTTAGTAATTAAATGACCAATTTATTACTCAATACATTTTATCCAAGTCATTCAGTTCTCAGCATCAATGCTGTATTTTTGTAGAGAACGCTGTTTATCTTTTTACTTTAATCTTATTATTATTTTTTTTTCTTTGGGGTGGTGGGGGGTGTCATTCAAGATTGTTCTTATCATAATAATACTAATACATTCCTGATATGACTGTAAATATGCAAATTTTAAATTGAAAGTAATAAAGTTTAAAAAAGGTTTGTAAGTTCAATCATCCCAGATAAATAAATCACAAAAAAAGGTTAAAACATGTCATCTGGACAGTTTTTTTTTGGTCCCTTTTTACATGTGTAAAACCAGTTTGTGGGAACTCCACAGCGGGCTGGCTTGAAACATCAATGAGGTGCTATTTATATGACGGATCTGGGTTGGCAGACCTCAGATTGATGAAGTCTTATGAAATGTTTTTATCCCCCCAAAAAACTGTCCAGATGACATGATTTAACCTTTTCTTTGTGTGACTAAAGTTTAATATATTAATATTACTTTTAGATAATATTAAAAAATATGCCTTTAATAATGCCTTTTTTTTCCAATTCAATTCAGTTTATTTATATAGCGCCAAGTTACAACAGAAGTCATCTCAGGGCACTGAACAGAAACATTCATATATAAAATAAGTCAACAGAAACATTCATATTTAAAAATAATAATTTAACATTATTTATCTAAGGATCAGACTGCTTAGAGTTTAATTAACTCCATCACAGAACTCTCATCTTGAGCAAGCATGAAGGCGACAGTGGAAAAGAAAAACTTCCTCATGAGGAAGAAACCTTTAGCAGAACCAGACTCAGGACAAGCGGTCATCTGCTTCGACCAGCTTTTAAATTTGTCTCTTTTGCTGCATTTAATTACAAATGCAATAAACAACACAGATATTTAATTCAAATAAATTACAATTCAATATTTATCTCCTTGCAATAAAATAAGTGATATTTTAATGTGAAACTAATATATATATATATATATATATATATATATATATATATATATATATATATATATA